TAGATAGATAGATAGATAGATAGATAGATAGATAGATAGATAGATAGATAGATAGATAAACAAAATGAGCACCAACACAACAAGCAATGGAAACTTTATGTTTCACTCATGTGTTCTTTTTGTTTTTGACATTGTTGAATTATCACTACTTTTATAGATTCTGTAGGTTGTATTCATGATTAAATACATCAAAATAAACTATTTCAAAGATAACAGATCTTTGTAATACTTGGTTTATTTACATAATAACTTTAATTTCTGGATGTTCGGCCCCTCAGCTGTTGACCTGCAGTAACTGTGGCCCCCGGAGCAGTTTAGTTGAATAGCCCTGCTCTAAACTGTCCGTGGGTTTGAGTGAGAGAGTGAATGGTTGTTTGTCTCGTTTGATGGACTTGCAACCCGTCCAGGTTGTACTCTGCCCCCTGCACAGTGACCCCCCTGACCCTGAAAGGCATAAAAGATGATGGATGGATGGATGGATGGATGGATGGATGGATGGATGGATGGATGGATGGATGGATGGATGGATGGATGGATAAGCAAAATGAGCACCAACACAACAAGCAAGGGAAACTTTATGTTTCACTCATAAATCCTAAACAAGGTAAAGAAAAATATTACTACCGCCTGGTGCTGAAGAGCAAAGACCAGATAATGTTGTTGCATGTGTACGTGTGCACATTTCTGTCTACTTCCTGAACCACTGAACAGGTTTTAATAAAACCTGCAGAAAGTCATCACTGGGTGTAACTAATTAACAGTTGGGCTCAACCCYTTTCAGTGAAACAAAACTGTCTATAACTCATGTAACTTTAAGCATGATATTTTATTTAATTTTAATTGAAATTTGAGTTTTTTAATGTGATTGGTTTGAAAACATTCTGTTAATTCAGGGAGTTAAAAAATTAAACTAAACTAAAATCAAAACAATGTTGTAACATCTGTCTCCTTCAGTTTTTTAAATCCTTCTCTTCATCCTCTCTCCCTAACTTCTCTTTCCTCCATCACCACGCCCTTGTTTTCTCCACTTCTCTTTCTCTCAGTTCCCCAACTTGTTCCTCTTCCTCTATTTTCCTGGCGTGCTTTCGTTTCCACTGTCTCCTCTTGCTGCCTCTCTTTTGTTTTTCCCCCTCCGCCTCCTCTCTCTGCTGTGGGCAAACTGGCTGTGATACTCTTTTAGACCCACCGCAGGGAGAAGCGTTGAAGCAGAACAGACTCCACTGCCCCAGTGTGTGTGTGTGTGTGTGTGTGTGTGTGTGTGTGTGTCACCTGAATGACCCCAGGACTATTTGATTCATCCAAGTGTGTGTGAGGTTTTGTGTGTTTCTGTTCCAGGTGCTTCCCAGTGGGTTTTTCTTATTTACCAAAGTACACAAGCAAGTTTGCTTCACAGCAGATGTGTCCATCTTTCTGTCCTCACTGACATATTTGATGTCTTTAAGTGAGTCTWAATGCAACAGACTCCTGTTTCCAAATGACTCATCATAACAAGGCGATGTCCACCAGGTATTGTCTTTGTTCCAGCTTCGTTACAGCCTGCTGCCAAAGGCAATGTTTTTGCATGAGTGTGCATGTGTGTTTGTTCATAGCATTAGCAAAACCAATGGATAGCTTTTGTGAAACTTAAAGATGGCACACCACATGTGTCAAACTCTTTTATTATGAAATACATTTATGGTTTCTCTTTTTGTGAAGTTCTCATGACAGCAGGCCAACTTTCAGTCAGGAAAATGGAGTTGGAATTTTTCAGAAATCTTTCATTTTGGTGTGGAAAGAGCCACAGACAATCAACTTTAACTGTTTTTTCTGCATTCTCTTATTTTAAAATTAAATTATTAGATTTTTAGTGAGGGTTTTCTTTTTTTGCATGATTTACTGGACTGTGATYAAATAATAAATGAAGTTGTTGATAGAGAACAAGACATAAGAAATGAATGATGTTTTTAATCTTTTTTAATCTATTAGGTAATGTATGTTCTGAACTATAACTTATTACATAACTTTTCTTCAATAAATATGAAAAGAAATTTTAACTGTTGACCAAGTTTTGAATTTTGGCCTACCTGTGTATTTGAGGTTGACACCCCTGGTGTACGTCTTAAACTCATCAACATTTGTCAACCCAAGACAAGATGGCTTCCACAGCTAATCAAATTTAGCCAACATAAATTACTATAAATTGGTCATTATACAGATTTAGAWCTAAACTCATACCCAAAGAAAACAATGTTGAAGACACCACAAGACTTCACTTTTTTTTCAAACATGCATAACCTGTTGATTTTTTTTAACAAATTAGTTTTAATTTGACATTTTTCAACAGAGAATTAAATTTAAATCCCCCTATCATGAAAAGAGATTTTGGTCAAATTGTGTAAATGGTGTGTACAATCTCATGCAATATTGCAAGATCTCACAAGATGTGTTTGCGCTTGATGAGGATGATTTTCAGCTACTTTCACTATATTTTGCATCTGTAAAATGGACAGAATTGCAACAATCCGTGTGTGGCTAATGTCATTTTTCTGTGGCAGCCATCTTTAATTTGATTGATTTAAACACAGTGAGTTGTACGTGTGTACCCACTGATAGTTCATGAGATATTTTACCAACAGTCAAACAGAAATGACTCTGAATATTTATAGGGAAGTTTTAAAGTAGATCTTGAGCGATCGTTTTTTACTTGGAGTATGTGATGGAGTTTAGTCTCTGCAACTAGCACACCAAATTTTAGCTCAACATTTATTAAACTGCCTGAGTTATAGCCATTTTTGTATGCAATAAAGATGCTTATCTGAGGCGGACATGTTGAATAGTGTTTACTCCAGAAGTTAATCAGTTGTAGATGTTCATTTCCTCTTAGTTTCATTCAAATCAGTCCAGTGGTTTGTGAGGTATTTTGCTAACAGCAGACACAAAAACACACACAAGTGCAAAAACACTGTCGACTGCATACATTTTATTTGTTACAAGTGTCTTTCAGGGCTACCACACGCTGCAGTCCACATTAAAGATGTGGTGTTGTTTTTGTTCTCCCATGCGTTACTAGCTGTCAGAATTTGTCCAACAGGCACCCACTGCAGTTTCGGTGGGAGGGGGCTGGTCAGGTTGGTGGTTTGCTGGCAAGCCAAGAGACTGTTTCTGTGTGAAAATGTTGCCTTCAAGGAACCCTGGTATTTTCACACTCTCTCATGAAGTCATGACGTTTCTGATGGACTATCTCAGCTGAGAGGGGAAATATTCATCCACAACTTCTACTTTTTTGTCTATAGGTATTTTAACTGTGTACATAAGGTTGTAAAATTATATTCACACGTTTTAAGTACTTTATAGCAAGGCCTTAGAAGCAACAAAGTATTATAAGCCAAATTTAGTTAGTAATATTTTAGTTTTTTTTTCTAATTCACTTGGCTTTACTAGAAAAAAACCCAGTTTTAAACCTTGAAACATTGGTTTTCTATTCACAAAATAATAGACTTTGATTTAAGTTATTTACTTCAGATTCTGATCATCAATTTGTAACAAGACTTTTATTTCTTTGTTATGCTGGCTCAGCTTATGTTTG